GGTGTAAGTAGTTCACAGAGAGAGAGAGAGAGACGCAGACAGGCAGAGAGAAGGGGAATTAGGTCCACCTGCCCTACATCGGCACACATGTGAGGGCATTCTCTTTCTTTTTCGTTTTTTTTTTTTTTCCTCTTCTTTTACGCCGGCCGGGTTAACTCATCCCTCACACCGGTACTTTCCCAAATGTATCTGACTGCAATTACAGCCAAGTCGTGTTGCGTTCGACTGGAATCACGTCCAGAGCTTAGTAGAAAAAGAGTCCTAGCGTGAGTATGCCCTGAGAGTGACAGGCTGATAGAGGGAGAGAGTTTACGGGGAAGTCGAGAGAAAGCTGAGAAGCGAAGGGGAAAGAGATTAAAAGGCGGCCTTTTTTTTTTTTTTTTTTTAGAAAGTCGGCTTAAATGAGCAGAGCAGGAAAAAAAAAAAACGAGGGAAAAAAAAAAAAAAAAGAGGACCACCATGGAGCCAGAGACGATGCAGATACAAAGATCCCCCTTCCCGCCCCCCCCCTCCCCCCCCCGCCCAAAAAAAAAGGGGGATCCAGTTGAGAATAAACTGAGAATAAACGATGCGGAGAGGGAGAGACGAGAAGGATGGGCATAGTATATATCGTCACATGAATATCAGAGCTCAAAAACGAAAATAAAACAAAAGGAAACAAAAGAGATATCAATTCATGTTTATCTTCTTTCTTACAAGACTCCCGAACCTCTTTTGCGTACAAGGCCGCCCACGTGGATGTAGGTTGAGCGGCGGCTGCCCCCACCCCCGTGTGTCATATCGACCCACTTGCACACAGCCAAAGGGCAAAGAGGCAAAGAAAAGAGGAAGGGCACAGCCAAATACAACAAAACAAAACAGGGGGCAACAAGCAATAGTACCAAAAACGGATCCTAGATGACAAGTCCCACATGCAAGCACCGGCCCTTCTTCACAGGCCAAACGAACAAGACCACCCAGGACAAAACTCTTGTCTGCAAAAAAAAGAAGAAATCCCAGATTACATATCTATACACAGCAGATGGCCTTGTTCGTCATCAAGAAGTTGGTATCCCCATTTGTAAGCCGTTCGTACTGGGACAACAAAACATAAAAGACAATCATTATGGTCTGTGATTTCTGCGGAACAGAGCGACGATGGAGAGAGTATAAAGACCAGTAAGGGCATATTCACACTAGGACCTTTTCGACTCAGCTCTGGACGTGATTGCAGTCAGATGCGTGTGTAATAGCGGTCAGACCTAGGCTACCAGAGTGGCCTGGATGCACTTGGCCGGCCGAGTCGAAAGGGAAAAAAAAAAAAAAACTAATGTCTATATCGTCAAACAGATCTGCCCGGCAATTGCACGGGCACCTCCTGAGGCCTGGCCACCACCCTGTACTACAACTTGGACCTTAAAAAAAAAAAAAGAACTGCCTACGGTAAACCGTTGGTCGAGCGTAGGAGTGCTTTCATGTGGGACCAGTCATCCGGGTTTTTTTTTTTTTTTTTTTTTTTTKTTCGGCCTATGAGAGCATGAATGGTTTAGGAATGGGAATACCAACATCTTGATGACGAACAAGGCCATCTGCTGTATATAGATATGTATTCGGGATTTCTTTTTTTCTTTTCTTTTCTTTTTTGCAGGCAAGAGTGTTTTGATATCCTGTTTGGTCGTGTCCCGTTGTTTGGCCTATGAAGTTGGGGGCAGTGCTTACATGTGGGGCTTGTCATCCAGGATCTTGTTGCCCCCTGTTTAGTTATATGTGGCTGTTCCCTTCCTCTTTTCTTTGCCTCTTTCCCTTTTGGCTGAGTGCATGTGGGTCGATATGACACACGGGGGTGGGGGCAGCCGCCGCTCAACCTACATCCACGTGGGCGGCCTTGTACGCAAGAGGTTCTCAACAGGGGGAGTTGAAAGCAAGAAGATTTAAAAAATGAAAATTTATTTTCGTGTTTCTCTTTGTTTTTCACTTTTTTTCGCTTTACGGTCTGATAACTTTGTGACAATATATATACAGGTTTCAGCCTCCTGATGAACCGGTGAGACTCAGACGAAACAGCTATTGTCACACTGTGAATCGGATCGCAAAGGCGGGAAAAGAGAAAACAAAAAAAGGAAAGAAGTAAGAAAGGAAGGAAAGCTGCGCATGTTCATCACCTCTTACGTACAAGGCCAGCCACGTGGATGGCAGGTTGAGCGCTGGCTGGCCCCATCCCCGTGTGTCACAAGGACCCACTTGCACGCAGCCAAAAGCCAAAAAAGAGGTAAAGAAAAGGAGGAGGAAACCAAACCTCACAGAGGCAAGAGAAAGAGAAAGGGATCCAGTCAAAGAAAGAAAGGACAAGCGAAGGGGAAGAGGAAGGCCTATCAGTCAAACAAAACAAATGACACATCCCACAGATAAACCAATTACCACTGTCACAAGAAAGTTCAACATTTTTTTTCTTTTTTTCTTTCTTTTCTTTTCCTTTTTTTTCTCTTTTTTTTCCTTTTTTTTTTCCTTTTTTTCCTTTCTTCCTTTTTTTTCTTTTTTTCTTCTTTTTCTTTTTTTTTCTTTTTTTTTCTTTTTTTTTTCGTTTTTTCAATTTTTTCTTCAACTCCGTATCCGTTGGTAGTGTCGAAAGCTTTATCCGTCCTACAATCAGTGTTGCTCCTGACCTGCTTGATTCTATTGGCCAATCAGGAAGAGGAGCCCCCACCCCGGCAGATAGGACAGGCACGCTGAGGATGACGTGGAACTTCACAAGGATACCCCAGGAAGAGAGCTGCGCCAGCACAGCATTCAGCAGGACGGCTAGTACGGACCATCCCATCCCATCAAAACAGTCCTGACAAACAAAGGACATGCTGTCCACATGTCAAAAAAACAGCAGGTCGTTCATCACAGTGCGGCATCATGCAGTCCTAATAACGTCCTTGCCCACAAACGGCACTTCGAATACCTTGGTTATAGGGATGTGTACAATGAGCAAATGATTTCGGCATCATGCAGTCCTGATAACGTCCATGCATGCAGTCCTGATAACGTCCATGCAGTCCTGATAACGTCCATGCATGTAGTCCTGATAACGTCCATGCATGCAGTCCTGATAACGTCCATGCATGCAGTCCTGATACCGTCCATGCAGTCCTGATAACGTACATGCATGCAGTCCTGATAACGTCCATGCATGCAGTCCTGATAACGTCCTTCGGCACAGACGGCGGCGGCCGCAATAGATTGATAATGATGGTGATGTATCGTGAAACAGAGCTGCCTACGGTAAACCGTAGGCAGAGAGGGAGGGAGGGAGAGAAGAGGATTTCAACAAACGAGGGGCTGTGACAAACAATTTCGCCGGAGTTTCACCGACTCATCAGGAGGCTATCGTCAAATATATAATTTTACTTTTTGTTTTTAATTTTTACTTTTTGTTTTTATTTTATTTTTTTTGTTTTTTATTTTTACTTTCTGTTTTTAATTTTTACTTTTTGTTTTTTATTTGACTTTTTGTTTTCTATTTTTAGTTTTTGTTTTTAATTTCGTAAGGAAATTCGAAGTTGGTCAGTTTATGTTTCTTGATAACATAGTTTTTTTCCGAAAAGTGTTGTTCTGTTTATTTTTCTGCATAACATAGTTTTTCGTTTCAGATTTTTTTTTTTTTTTTCCCTTTTCCAGGGACCATAACATAGTTTTTTTGTTTCAGATTTTTTTAATCTTTTTCCCTTTTCCAGGGACCTTAACATAGTTTTATGTTTCAGAATATTTTTTTTCTTCCCCCCCTTTTCCAGGGACCTTCCCTGACCCTTGCCCGGCCGGGCCGCCTGGGCAGCCAAGAAGTGATCAGACACATTTAGAAAAGTGCTACCAAGTGTGAGCATGCCAACCAAGAGGTGATCAGACACCTTTAGAAAAGTGCTACCAAGTGTGAGCATGCCCTGAGGAGAGAGAACAAGGAGTGGGGAGAGAACACACAATTTGATGACAGTCCAGAGGGGACAGAGAGATGGGGATGGGAGATGCAGACATACGCAAGGGGTACAGAGGGGAGAGAGAGATGGGAAATGGAGAAGAACAAAGTGTAAGGGAGTTGCAAGGAGGACAGTAGAGCGATGCGACCATGACAGATAGGGATGAAGAGAGGGAGGGAGAGGGAGGGAGAGGGAGGGAGAGGGAGGACACGCTTAGGAGAGAAAGATAACGAAAGGGGTAAAGAAATGAACGGAGAGAAGGATAGAGGGGGGGTGAGGAAAGGGGGATCAAGAGAGTTGGAAGAAGAGGACGGAGATCAAACAGAGATGCAATGGAGGCGAGAGCGGCAGAGAGGGAGGTGATGAGGGAGAGAGGACAAGATGACATAACAGAATATGCGAGTAGGGCAAACGAAAGGGAGATGAAAACGGCGCAAGCACAAGAGAGAAAGAGAGAGAGAGAGAGAATCAGACAGGCAGAGCAAGAGAAAGGCAGAGAAAAAGAGAGAAGCAGACAGGCAGAGGAAGAGGGAATCAGAGAGGCAGAGAGAGAGAGAGAGAGAGATCATGAGGGTAAGAAGAAGAGGACGGAGACCAAACGGAGATGCAGTGGAGTCGAGACCGGCAGAGATGGAGGCGATGAGCGAGAGGGGACAAGATGACATAAAAGAATGTGCGAGTAGGGAAAACGAAAGGGAGATGAAAACGGCGCAAGCACAGAGAGAGAGAGAGAGGGAGAGAGAAAGAGAGAGAGAAAGAAAGAGAGAGAGAGAGAGAGAGAAACAGACAGGGGCAGAGGAAGAGAGAAGCAGAGAGGCACAGAGAGAGAGAAGAAGAAAGGCAGAGAGAGGGGAAGAGAGAGAGAAAGAGAGCGATGATAAGAGAGCGTAGAAGAGACAGGAGAGAAGGAAGCAGACAGGTACAGAGAAAGAGAGAAGCAGGAAAAGCAGTGAGACGGGGAGAGAGAAAGAGAGAGAGAGAGAGAGAGAGAGATGATGAGATGGCGTACAAGAGAGGAGAGCAGGGAAGGAAAAAGGAGAACAGGCAAGGGGCAGTAGCACGTACGGCCTTCGCGAAGATTCTCTTCACGGAACTGCTTTGGGATGTCATTCAGTGCAGCGCGAGCGCCGCATGTGCCCTTGTTTCCACTTCGCGGCTCGGCGCGCAATGGCTTCGCAGTCAATCTTTGTCCGGATAAAAACCTGCCACGTGTCAACGACCGGGTCTTGGTCATCGACACCTTTTCATTACGCTTTTTGCGCTCGCGGCTCGGCGCGCTGCACGGCGAGAACGACACAACCACCGATGTTCGCAGAAGCGCCTGCCGCGCACACGAGTCGCCCCGTCGACAGCGCGCTGGCGTCGTCCGCCGTTGCTCCGCACACTGCGCAAAGAGAGAGCCATTGCCCGCACTACTAGCCGTGTGGGTTGCCACGTGGCAAGCCGCCATCGCTGTTCCGCTCGACGTCTGACCAATTGACACGTGGCAAGCTCTTCGCCCACCTCGCTCTAAAATCCGCTCTCCGGAGCACTCGCCGCTCCCCCGACCGACTCCGCTCCCCGCCGAGGACGATCACCAATTCATCACCGTCCCGCTCTCCGCAGCTTGAACACCCCCTTCCTAACCATCCCCCACCCCCCACCCCCTCTTTACCCGCCTTTTGCTGCCAACACGCTGTCCCCTTGCCCCACTCTCCCGCTGTCCCGCTATCCCGTTGTCCCGCTGTCCCGCTGCCCCGATGTTCCGCTGTCCCGCTGTCCCGATGTCCCGCAGTTCCACAGCCGTGTCCTCTCTGCTCTCTACCGACCTCTCAGTTCCTCTGACTTCGTCTCACCAATCTCTAACCTCCTCCTCTCCCAGGGCAAGGTCCCACTTGCGCAAATTAGGAGATTTCGGCCGTTGATCTTTGCTATCTACGGTCAGTATCTCTTAATTCGTGCAAGTGGGGACCTGGTCCCTGCGCTGTCCCAACACTTGGAAAAATTGGCGGGAAAAATTGGCGGGCTGCACGTGCACGTCCTCCTCTTGGGTGCCCGATTTGGCGGGAGATAATCGGTCGGAGGAGGATTCTTGGCGGGAAAAAATCGATCGGAGAGGACGCGGGCGAGTCAGCACACCTCTGGCGGGGTGTTATTCTTTTCTTAGTGGGATTGCACGTGCACGCGGCTTGTAAGGGCTTTCCCGCGCTTCTTTACTACCGCCGGCGTTCGCCCTTCCGCGCCTTTTTTGTTTCGGCGGTGTGCATTAAAACACCGCCTCTGTCTCAGGGAATTGAGTGAAGATTCGGATTTGATAGGGCCTCGCCGCCGGAGTACTCGCCAAATGCAGAAAATGAGAAAGAATCTATCTTCCGCGAAAACATGGAAAATTGCGCGGGCATCAGTTTTGTCTTTTGTGCATGTCGAGTCGAGAGTAAAGTAGCAGAGCGACGCACCCGATCGAGCAGCTTCACCCGACCGAAGGGGAGAGCCTTTTCCTCCCGCCCCTTCTTTTATTGCCGCCGCGAACTCCGGGGCAAGGTCCCACTTGCACGGATTAAGCGATTCTGACCGTTGATCTTTTATTTTTTTCCGAGATTGAAAGCATTTTTTTTCTTTCTTTCTCTTCTTTAAATCCCGACGCTTTGCTGGCTTGATGCCGGTCCCCAGCTATGGCGTGGCAGCTATGGCGACCACGCGCTCTTTGATAGCGAAGACATGCCCGCGGATCGCAACTCCAAGCGTGGGATAAAAAAATAAAAAAAATATTTAAAAAAATATTAAAAAAAAATTCCAAGCGTAGGATGTGCTACCCAGAAAATGCCAAACATTTTGTTGTACTACGTTCTGGCCGCAGTTGTGGTCAGATACATTTCGGAAAGTGCTCGTGAGAGTCTCCCCTAAAGCTGGCAGCGCTGGTGTCACGTGGAAGCGTCGGCTCCTCAGGCTCGGGAATCAGCACTCAACAAGGGCCTCGCCGCACGACTCAACAAATATGGGAAAGATACGGTCTCCATTTTGCACATCGGTGAGTGGTGGAGCGAGGGCATTCATTACCAACCTCTTGAAAGGCAGAACCACTCCGTGCTAGGGCTTAGCGGCCGTCACACACCACGTGTCACATCGGCCGTCTTCCCCCGAACATAACGCACCCTGATAATGAATGTATCAAAGCTATATTTCCGGTCAGATACAGCGAAAATAAGGGTGCGTTGTGTTTGGGGGAAGACGGTAGGCCTTGGGGTTGCATGCCCAAAGGTTTAGCGGCAGTCACACACCACGTGTCACAGCGGCTAGCTTGTGGGGTTACACAAGGACCACTGTATCACTCACTCTTTGGGCAGAAGAGCATTGGTTTCTCTGGAGGCTGTGTGACCTGAAGCAAACCCGGGAGCTTGTGGATGAAGGTGTGGTTTGTGAGTTCAAGACCTAGAGCCTCACCACACCTATCTCCAAAACCCAGATGTAGGAGGAGCATCGCCATACCTACTCTCGAAAATCCTAGTCAGAAAACATTTCGAGAGTGGTCAGAAGGCGGGTTTCGAGAATGCTCTCAAATGGTGGGCCTCGCCCCGCCTGCAAAGTGTCCGATTTCGAAAGTGGTCAAAGGCACCTCCGATTTCGGCCCGAAACTCGAGAGTGCGCCATGACAGAAAACCATTTGGGGCCACCGTTTTGTCATGTGTGATTCGAAAGAACTCTCGAACTGTGAAAGTCCTTCCGGACCCTGGGCGGGCCCAAGCATCATGTCTCCTGTCGGGGCCGAATCTGCTCCGCAAAAACCAGCACACGTCCTTGTAACGCGGACACCCACGGGACACTTGCAGTGCACGAAAAGTACCACCTCACAAGTTCGGGGAAAGGCCTCACCGCCACACTGCGCTCTTCAAAAAGGCTGGGTCTTTTATGAAACAATTGGAAATTTCCCCCTTCAAGAGCGTTGTTGGAGCAAGTACCCTTACAAGGGTATTTGTCCGTGTTTTTGCAAACAATATGGCAACGACATTGGCCACCATGACGGAGATGGCTTAAAGTAAAGCGTGTGCACACTGTCGCGCAGCACTCTGAGACGGTTTCCTTAACCATTGAGGTCGAGGTTTATCGGTAAGTGAATTTGGTTAGTTTTTGCACGCATTATTATGACGCGCGCTAGGGTGGTTAGGATCATTAATAATATCCCTTGTCCACAAAGGTCAAGGGTTCAGTTCAATAAAGTCAAGTCTACACACCCACCTCACTAGCGGAGAACAGCCAAGCCTAAAAGATATGAGGCGTGTGCCTTGGCCCAACGCAAGATAAATTAAGAAGCCTGAAATATATTAGAAACCCCTCGCCCACTGAGGTTAATGGGTCGATTCGGTTACTGTTATATCTAGTAAACCGACGACACACACGGAAACTTAAGCATGGGTACGTTAGTTGAGCTAAATTAATATACACCCCCATCATGCGGTCGGAGCAATAAAAAGTGTGTGATCGTCGGAAATGCAGTAGCGCTCTGAATGTTAGGGCTTACTCAAGCAGCATGTTGCCCAAACTTGCATGCCGCAAATGAGGTTGAGCATTTTGCTCCCCCTCTCATACATACGAGGCATTTGCCTCTTGGGCGCAGACTTCATGGCCATTAGGTCAGCCAAGCAACGGTACCTCCTCCCTTTCAGAGAGAAGCGCCATTGCGGGCTCTGGTATCGTCCGCATAGGCCCTAAGCCCAAATTACTGGACCGTTACCCCCTTACCTATAGGCCTACTGCTTTTGGTCTCTACAAGTGTTAACTTTTTTCTTCTTTACTTAACCACCGATTTCGGTCACATCTACCAATATTTGAGTCGTACCGGTGTACCGGCTACTGAGTGTTTTTCCCTATTGTTTTAAGTATCGTGGGCCTACCCCCGCTACTTGAGTGTTTTCTTGTTGCAACCCTCAAAGTCACGGCCACAGATGAGGATCGGTAATGTAGGGACTCTCAAAACAAAAGAAATGTCATTGCGGGGCACACACACATCTGGGCCGACTATCAATCATACAAGCACATAAACCAGCAAACATGCGTATACGCAAACCGAACAAAAATACATGAATCTTAGCAAGGCATACATTCCAATAGCAAACTGATACATCAATTGTATTCTTAGTCCTTATTTTTGGCAGTTTTTTTTTTTTTTTTTTTTTTTTTCCCATAGTTTGTCAAAGGCAGAGAACGAGACTCAAACTCGTGTCTTTACTACTGGGATTTGTTACAACTAGTTCGGAAATTAAACACTTGCTGAAGTGGTTTGCCAAGACAAGGTAAGTTAATAGTTAAACTTAGTTGATTTTTTTTTTCCCCCCCCCCAAAGTCACATGCCAAGTGCCCAAAGCTTATATTTATAAAAAAATTGAGTTCGCGGTCCTCACAGTCTACCTGGTATAAACCTCTGGGAGCATTACCCATTTTTGCTTACGGGCATACCCCGCAGGGACCAATCCCCAGAATGCACCAAACGAGTGTTCTGCACCAAATAGTTGCATATATGCAGGGAATAACTTTTAGAGTCCCTACCACGAGGCATCTGGACTAAAAAAGTTCCAGTCATCCGTTGTCTCTCCCGCATACCCCCCTTCCCACTTTCTGCTGCCCTCCTACAGCGGATACCGAACCGAACGACCAGATACTCTTTTTTTTTGCATTGCTGAGTACCTTTTTTTTATGTTTGATTTTTTTTTTTTTAACTTCTTACAATTTTTTTTTGACTCATCATAATTAATCCATCACGAATCATCATGCATATTCATTCTCTAAGAATTCACTTGCTTTTCACGACGCGGCCTCGCCACTTCGACTGTGTCCCAACTCGACCCTGCCTGTATACTCGACACGCGTGAGGAAAAAAAGTTAGAGGGGAGACGGTCAAGTTGAGGAGGATATGACTGCACGAAGAGGAAAACGAGTACACAATTGGGAGGAAACGATAGACACAAGATGGCGCAAGACGACGACAATGAGTTTGCTAAACAACGACGGCGTGCTCACGGAAAAACAAAGATGGCGGTCGCGCACTAACCAGAAAGTGAGCGCAGTAAGGGAGGACAAATAGGTAACAAGGAGAGTGTGAGCAGGCGCGACATGAGAAAGGTAACAAGCATTGCATGAGAAAAATAAGTGTGTATGTGAAAGGCGAAGGCGAGCATTCGCAAAAAAAAATGTGCAGTGTAGGAAGAGACTATGAGGCTAAGGAAGAAAGTGAGAGCAAGTAGCAGAAGTACGTGGAAAACAGAGCAGGAGATAGTGCGGTGAGAAACAAAAGGTGAGCGTCGTCGAGGCTAATACCCTTACAAGGGTATTTGCCTATGTTTTTGCATTCGACAGAACGATGATATGGACTACCATGTCAGAACCAGCTTGAACTGTAAATTTAGGTATTTTTGTGCGACACTCTGTAACGTCGGGACAAATACCCTTGCAAAGGTATTTACACGTGTTTTTGCGTTCGACAGAATGACGGTTTTTATTACAATATCGGAGCTGGAATGAAATGAAAAGCATGCACGCTTTTGCACAGCACGCTCAGATCGGCGGTTACTCGACCATTAAGACCGAGGTGTATAGATAAGCAAATTTTGTAAGTTCATGCGCACATTGTCGAGCGCATCAGCCCCTGCCTTTGCAAGGCGCGGGAGCCCTCCCGGCCATGTCACGCAGGAGTTAAACAAAAACAAAAATCAGAGAAAACTTGAGGACGATGCATAACAACCCCGTAAGCCGCCGAGATGGTGTTAGTCGTGTCGTCCCTTCAAGTTTGTCGCTCTAACCGTGTGCGCCAGCTATACATCCCACGGTCTCCTACAACAAGATAGGTTCCCGCCAGGTATAAACTTTCCTTCCCTAAGGGGTTGTCACCACCCTTAGGGGCGTATCCCTACCGAGCTACTGACCCACGTGCGAAAGCTTTTAAATGCAATCGCGGAGGTAGATCATTCGATGACGTTTGCTCATTCGCTATAGTATAGATACGCTTGGTTAAATGCCAAGTGGACCCGAGCATTGTTCGTTCCTTAGGGCGATGATTTCCTAAGTATGAAGCGGACGCTGGTCGACTAAGACGGTCTCAACCAAGCGTGAAACCACAGTTCATCCTATTCCCTTAGACATATAACTCAAGAGAAAGTTATAATAACCATACATAATTACATTCAAAGGAATCGACCGTAGTCGACATAAATATATAAAATCTACGATGATAACCGAAAGAATCAAAATCATTATTTATTCAATAATACAAAATCAAAATAAAATTCAACCACTCTGTTGCAAACTCCACAAAAATCAACAAGCTGTTAATGAGGAGTTGACTTTCAACGATAACACAGATGCAACCGATAAAGTAGTCGGACTGCCTTAGTTTTGACTTGATGAGACGCACTACCAAAGTCATTCATTCCAACCTACCTC